CTCCAGCCTGGGTAACAAGAGCGAAACTCCGTCTCAAAAAAAAAAAAAAAAAAAAAAAAAAAAAAAATAAAAAAAAAAAAAAAAAAAAAAAAAAAAAAAGATGTTATGTTGTGGTTAAATAGAATATTGTACCTATTCTGTCCTATTTTAGGTTACATTATAGACTATTTTGATTGGGATAAAATAAAAGGATTATTTTTTCTGAAAGTAACCATACTAATTTTGATTGCTTTCACTTCAGATTTTATTTTGACCCATATAATTAGTAAAGAAATTTATACTTTAACATGTTTTTCTCTCCTTTCCATTAGATTAGAGTGATTAGACCCCCAAATTATGCTGGTCCCCTTATGTTGGGATTGCTTTTGGCTGTTATTGGTGGACTTGTGTACCTTCGAAGAAGCAATATGGAATTTCTCTTTAATAAAACTGGATGGGCTTTTGCAGCTTTGGTGAGTGAATTTAGAAGACAAAAAATTATTTGAATAAAACTCCTAATAATGTATTTTTAGGTAAGCTTTTACAGGAGAAGTAACATTTTGTTTATTTCTTAGCTGAGGAAAATAGTTTTTATATTTTTATTTTCTGTCTTAAAATCAGTTTGTTTCATTCATTATCTCATTAGGATGGCCAGAGCTTCAAGGAACTGATTATACCTACCCTTTATTCGACCTAAATGACAGACTGTCATCTCTATGAAAATCTCTGGTTGTTCAGAAAATATTACTTTTTTTTTTTTTGAGACGGACTTTTGCCCTGTTGCCCAGGCTGGAGTGCAGTGGCACCATCTCATCTCACTGCAACCTCTGCTTCCTGGGCTCAAGGAATTCTCCTGCCTCAGCCTCGAAAGTAGCTGGGATTACAGGCATGTGTCACCATGCCCAGCTAAATTTTTTGTATTTTTAGGAGAAATGGGGTTTCATCCTGTTGACCAGGCTGGTCCCTAACTCCTGACATCAGGTGATCCACCCACCTTGGCCTCCCAAAGTGCTGGGATTACAGGCATGAGCCACCATGCCTGGACAGAAAATATTATAAAAAGCCTTTTTAGTATTCAATTTTGAAATTTGTGTGTGCATAGTTATCATTTTAAAATAGTGTTTTTCTTTTGAAGTAAGTGTTACCGAATTATGGTCCTTGGGATGAAATATAAGTGTTAATAAATCATTTATCTGTAAAAAATTCTATGTCTTACCTAAACAGATGCACATTTTCATATTTCTATTATCTAATCAAGGCAAGAACACTTTGACCATAAATATTTTATTATTTTTTGTTTCCTAGTGTTTTGTGCTTGCTATGACATCTGGTCAAATGTGGAACCATATAAGAGGACCACCATATGCCCATAAGAATCCCCACACAGGACATGTGGTAAGGGAAGTCTGGGATTTCTTTCTTTTGTAGACCAAAGTTAACTCAATGATTATTACCCTGTGAGGACAGTGCCAGCATATGAAGGAGCTAGATTTAGTCTTGACTTTTCAATCTCTCTGTGTTAACAAGCTTCCATTACTGGTAAGACCATGCAGTATTCTTACAAGTGGGAAGTACCTTATTGCATTTGGTGAGTCCTTCTAACCAAGCTAGCTAAGAATGAAAGACAGGCTTCAACTAAATAGAAAAATTGATTAAGTACTTGAGCATCTACTGTTTCTAAGCACTGTGCTAAGTATTATTAAATATAGTGATAAATAAGAAAAACATTATCCCTTTCTTCATGGAGCCTACCTTACTGTACCTCATGGTCTTGTACACTTAAATACTAGTTTTCGGCTGGGGGCGGTGGCTCACGCCTGTAATCCCAGCACTTTGGGAGGCCGAGGCGGGTGGATCACGAGGTCAAGAGATCGAGACCATCCTGGTCAACATAGTGAAACCC